CCTTGCAAGGCACCTTGCTCCAAGAGACTGCGCTGGCGCAACAAGTCTCACAAAGACTCATTTCTGGCAGAGTTTGGGGGAGAGAAAGAAAGACTTCTGCTGCTTCTGCTGCTTTCCTTCCATGAAGCCAAAAGTCTCTCTCTCTCTCTCCCCCACCCCCGAGAACAGAGCTGGAGACGGTATCCTGCGACCCCAAATAAAGAATGATCAATCGATAGGAAAACAGGGTGGGGAATTTTCCTGCAGACTTTTTCTCAGGGTCTCTAGTCCATGGGATTTTAAATTATGAGTTTGGTGGTCCAGGTTGGTGACCCCTGGTTTAGGCTGTGTGGACGTGCAAATCTGCAATAGCTGTCCTCTTATTTTTCCACAAATAATCACAATCCGGTATCAGCTGTGCTTGTCCTTTCAGATGGGCAGAGACAAACCACTAGGGCAGACAAATGAGAAGGCACCACTGTTACTGGCCTGTTTGTCAGTGCTGTGGCAAAACAGAGAAAATGAAAGATGCTACAACATTGTGAATTGGAATTTCAAACCAAATCCCCCAATTCAAAGCTTCATCCAGACCTGATGCCTGGCTTGGTAATAAATGCGAAAAGGATTTTAGAATTAGAGTTGATCACAAGCTGACTATGAGTCAGCATTTTGATAGTGCTGCTAAGAAGACAAATGTCATTTTGTGCTGCATCAATCAAACCATTGTTAAAATTCTACTCTATTCTGTATTGGTCGGACATCCAGGAGAAACAGTCCTCACTGTTTCCTCCTAAGTGATGCTCCATGTACATAGGCAACCTTCTGGATTTGAACTCAGAGAGAGCACATAGTGCAGTGGTCACCAACTTGTGGGCTGTGGCCCACTAGTGGGCCGTGAGAAAATTTTGGTGGGCCACAGAGAAATCTCACCCCCAGAGCACCCCCCAAAACAATTAATCCAGGCTGCGCAGAAACATGGCTGCACCGCCCACGTGGCCCACAGGAACCCTCCCCGCCCACTAACTCCTTACCTGGCAAACTTGCCTGCTAAATTGCTATTTTTCCTTTTTCTGACCATCTTCTGTTCTGCTGTGCCGAGAGATTTAGATTAGCTAGGAAGCAGGAAATGGTTGGATTTCTTGCTTTCTAGCTAGTCTTTAGATCTTCAGCTCTGCTTTTAAGCACAGCCAAACTCCCTTAGGACTGAAGGTTCTATTATTCAGTGCAGACTCATGGCAAGCAAATATGAGAGACTAAGCTAGCCGATGGCAGATAGATAGATCACTGAATGATTCTGTGAGCAACTCAATCTGCCTGATTGCTTTGCCTGATTTTGGGTAAAAGTTGCTCTTTTTCTTAAAATAAAAAATTCAATATTTATATACATGGTGTGTTGTCAGTTAATTTTGTGAGTTTGCTTGCTAGCAAATTTTATAAATTTGCTTGCAAGCAAATTTTATGTGACAGACTGAGCTAGTCGATGGCAGATAGATAGATCTCTGAACGAATTTGTGATTCTGTGAGCAACTCAATCTGCCTGCCTGCTTTGCTTGATTTTGAGTAAAAATTGCTCTTTTTTAATAAAAAAATTCAATATTTATATAAATATTTATAATATTTGCATACAAGCCATGCCCAGCCAGTCACATGACCACCAAGCCACACCAACAAATTAGGCCACACCCACAGAACTGGTTAGTGGTCCCTGGGATTTGAAATTATGAGTTTGGTGTCCCTGAGGTCCAAAAGGTTGGCGACCCCTGATCTAGTGGGTACTTTCCAAAAATTCCTACTATGGAATTCAGTACTTGCCTATTCATAAAGTTATAACAGTTATAACAGTGATCTTGGCTAGGTATAAAATGTCAACTTACTAAGAGTTAACTTGCTTCCCACTCTGTCCCCAATGCAGAAATATGGGATCTTTCTGGGATTCAAAGCTGTGGTGGGTTTCAATTTTTTTTTTAATCACCGGTTCTGTGGGCGTGGCTTGGTGGGCACACTTTGCACACACGCATGGGGTTTGCTACTCACCTTCTCCTGCAATCTTGCACTCTCCCTGTGTCTTCAAGAACTGACACATGGCAATCTGCTGTGCCGCGCGAAGCAGCTGAGCTTCAAAACCAGGAAATAAAGGTCAGTATAGAGTCGGGACGGGCAGGAGGGCCCAGCAGCTGATTGTCGGAGTAAACCAGCTACCTCAACAGACGATCCTCGGAGCTACCGGTTCAGCCGAACCAGGCCGAAGCGGTAGAATACCACCCCTGATTCAAAGGCATTTCAGGAGAGCAGTCTAAAACAGAGAAGCCTGGAATTTGCTTTGCATAATAATATCAATTTAACTGCATTGTACCAAATGATGGATGACGATGATACTAAAAGAAGGTTTTTTTTAAAAAAAAAAAGTCAGATGGGGCAAGGAACCTGGTGGACATCAAAGGTAGCATTTTGGAGATATATTTTTGCTCCACGGTATCAGGTTACCTTTCCATGAGCTTTGGGACAGGGAAGAGGAAGTCTTCCTTGGCATTAGATTGGTTTTCTCCCATGAATTTTGTGGCATCCATGGTTGGATGGATCATTCATATTCACATTTTATTACACAAGAGAAACATGTTTTGCAAATAAATTGAAAATGCTTGTATGCAGAAAACATATCTGTGATGCAAATAAGAACCACCATCATAATCATTTCTCAGAAAAGAATGGCATTTCATTGAGCTATTAAAAAGACATTTAAACAAAAATGGGGGGAGTTATTTTATGTTTCCCATTACCAAATGGTGTTTTTGTGTTTTAATAAATATTAGCTTTTTTTCAACGTACAGAACTTGTGTAACTTATGGCCCTTCAGATATTGTTGAGCTACAGATCCCGGTAACACAATTCATTGATTAGTGGTAGTGATAACGACTGTTAAAGTCTGTAGTTCAGCAACATTTGCAGGGCCAATTCTCCCACCCACATACTTCTATTTAGAAGTAAAGAAACTGAATCTTATTTCATAACAAGTAAGCTAAATTGTAAGTGATACAAATATTTCAAGTACATACAAAAAATAGAACAGAGTTCTCTGGAGATTGTCTAGTCCAATACCCTACTCAGGCAGGAAACCCTATATCAGTGGTGGCTAACCTTTTAGGGCTCCTGTGCCAAAAATTGTGCATGTGCTTGTATGCTTGCACTCATGTGCCAGCACCCAGAAGGCAATGCGCGTCCGCTCCATATCCCCTACGCATGCGCGCGCAACCCCCCACCCCCCCGCTGCCCCCTTACCTGCACTGCACCTCAGAGCTTTTTTCTGAAAAAACTGGAAGTGATGAAACGGGTCTAGATTTCAGTCTTCAAAGCTTGTAGAAGCCTGCAGAAGCCTTCCTCATGCCTTTGGGAGGCCGAAAAAGGCCTCAAATGGGCCGAAAATCAGCTGTGAGGTGTGCACATGCACAGTGAGGTAAGTTTGCCTGCAGCTTGTGTGCTGGCACAAATGGCTCTGCGTGTGGCATGTGTGCCATAGGTTTGCCATCACGGCCCTATTCATTTCAGACAAATAGTGTCCAATCTAATCAATAGAAAGTTTTAAGAAGAGACTGTTTCTCCCTTGAAAGAAAAAGGACCATGTCGCTTCATGAGACAGCTTATGGGATTGTTTCATTTGCAATTTCTTCAACGTTTCTTATGGACCTTAGAAAAATAATGTGGAAATGATCAAATACAAAGCCACTGGTATTAGGAAGAAAGATAATGAGTCTAGAAGTCTTTGAAACTCAGACAGTGTATTGCTTTGCTTAAAGTAAAATGTGTAAAAATTCACTGATGCCTAAATAAGCCAGTTTAATGCCTTATGACCAGATTATAGTTGCCTAGAAAAATGTATAATTATTAAGAAAACTGAGTGAACATTTTCACTCTCATATTAAGTTTGATTCCACTAAGGTGATCTCTTGACACTGCTTTTTTCACCTTTTTTAAATCAGGCTTCTCTTACTTCAAGATTTACTAATCTGTGCAAAACTGATTAGAGATGCTTATCTACTTATCTCTTACAATCCTTTCTCTCAAAGTATGAAGGAAGTCTATGAAAAGAGTTCCTTAAGATATCTTTATTAACATCTCATGCCTATCTTTCCAATAATGCAAACCTACTTTTTTAAAAAACAAGGCAGCCATATTGGGTAATAAAAGTATGAAACTCAGCCCATATTTTAGCGTGAACCCTGTTGGAAATAATGAAGAGATGTGGCATTAGATAATAATTTTCAAGTTATAAATTAAAATTTAAATAATTCATTGTTTGGAAATGAGACTTAAGGGCACTTTCTCATTGGGGAACTTCAACAGGCAAGCAGCATTTCAGCTAAATATAGAAAAAAGTCAAAGAGCAGGAAAGTTCTTTCACCAGGAACTTTTAATTAAAAAAATATCTCTATTGTCCCCTTGATTTCTTTCCTTCTTCAAATCTGTTCAAAAATATACAGTTGGATAAGAAATTCTGGTTACTTTTACTCAAAAAAACCTACATTAAGTACAAGTACATTAGCAATTTATAGAACCGATAATATTATTTTGTGAAATATTATCTTATGCATGTCAATAAGCTATTTCCAATTTAATAAAGATATTCTTTTATATTTTAATCATTCTTATTTATAATCCATAGAAATACCTGTTAGATCACAGCTAAGTCAGAGGTGGTATTCAGCAGTTCCAGTTCTGGAGAACCGGTAGTGGAAATTTTGAGTAGTTCAGAGAACCAGCAAATACCACCTGTGACATAGCTTTGACTCTGCTTTCAAGCCTTCCCAGACACAGGTGAGATTTGATTTCAGTAGAAGTGCCTTATCCTCTTAACAATGGGTATAATATATTTCTGAGTGCCAATTAAGAAACAAACTATAGAAACAGTGCTTCCTTGAGTGAGATGGACTAAGTAGCTTAATTACACTGTTTCAGGGTTCTGCTTCATTGCAAATATTCTGAATGTTTGGAAAAATGAGCTTCATTTCTACATTTTTCCCTTTTAGGTCCAACTCGCAAAATGCCACCCACTTCCAGTGCCATGGACTTCTTCCAACTCTTTGTTCCTGACAATGTGCTAAAGAACATGGTGATTCAAACCAACTTGTATGCCAAGAAATACCAGGAACGGTTTGGCAGCGATGAGGCTTGGATGGATGTCACCCTGATAGAAATCAAGGCCTTCCTTGCGTATATGATATCTACAAGCACTCACCATTGTGAGTCCGTCCTCAGCATCTGGAGTAGTGGTTTCTATAGCAACAAGAGCATCGCATTAATCATGACTCAGGCAAGATTTGAGAAGATTCTTAAATACTTCCATATTGTGGCCTTTCGTTCGAGTCAGACGACACATGGCCTCTATAAAATCCAGCCCTTTCTGGACTCTCTGCAACATAGCTTTGACACTGCTTTCAAGCCTTCCCAGACACAGGTGAGATTTGATTTCTGTGTTGTGGGAAATCTTATTCCTTTCTTGCACTAAAACTCTAAAACATTCAATGAATAAGCAAGAAAACCTAATTTGTAAAGGAAGAGCATGGAATGCTCAATTAAAACAGAGCATGTGTCAGGGTTCCGGCGAATTGAAAGCATTTGCATGTTTGGTTTCTCAAGAGCACATCTAAAATTTTTCAGGGCAAACAAACCCAGGCTTTAAGGTTCTACTTCTCAGTGGTGTACAAATAGTGAAGGTGGGCTTGATGGTGGCCTTATGGGGATCCACCTTCCCTTGAGCCATGTTCAGTGGTGGAATGGTGTGGGAGACAAGGAGATGTTTCCATTGTGGAGAAATATCTCAGCAACACACAAACACCTCCTGAGTCTTTCCAGGGAACCTACAGTGTGGGGTGAGTGATGTGGTTATATTAAAAAAAGAGGCCCCTGAGTTCCTGGCATCTGCTAAAACAAAGCCAGTGGCCTGAAAAACTCACAGTGGCTCTTTCTGTTCTTTGAATTTTCTGAAACAGAACTGAGGAAAGAATTTGACAACAGTGCATCCCTTAGAGATACATCACTCACTGGTTCAGTTGACATGATGAGACTGCTTAGTTTTCCTTCTGCATTTATGAAATCCAGGCTGGGCATAAGGTGATTTCACACTTCACTCTTCACATACCTTACGTTTATGAAGTTCCTCAGCTTCATAAATATAAGCGGCAGAGAGTATGGATATAGAAGTGAGACAGAATATCTGAAAAGGTTAAATCATGGCAACTGGACCAAAGGTTATTAAAACCAAGACATTTCATTATTCATCCAAGTAACTCCTTCAGTCAAAATTTGGGTAGGCAGAGTGACTGGAGAAGTTACTTTTGACTGAAGTACATCTACATACTTCAAAAATGAAATGCAACATCTCCATGGCTTCCCTTATAGAGCAAACAAGGTGATGTATATCAGCGGTGGGATTCAAATAATTTAACAACTGGTTCTCTGCCCTAATGATTTCTTCCAACAACCAGTTCACCAAACTGCTCAGAAAGTTAACAACCAGTTCTCCCAAACTGGTGCGAACTGGCTGAATCCCACCACTGATGTGTATCCTTCTTCAGCATCATGGTCTTGATTCCTATAGTCCTTCAGTGAAGGAGATCCATATTTGAGCATGCCATATGTCTCAATTGAAATTAAATACTTCTTGAGTCATTCTTTATGCCTGTACACACATGCATACACTTCTGATCACTGTCTTTTTCTACATGTCCCCTGTTGCCAGCTTTTGGGGCTTTGAGAAGCCCACAAGAAATGTGCTTGTGTGAGTACATTTGTACAAATGTGCTTATATGATAGAAAAGAACTAAGAAAGCCACCTATCCTGCCTGATGGTTATTGGGAAAGATATAAATAAGCCAAGCACCTTAGGTAGAAGTATAAGGTGATATAGTAAGAAAAAAAATTATTAGGCCATTTTAATCTTCTCAACCTGTTTCCCCATTGTCCTCCCGCTTGATTGGATTTCAGTTGTTATTTGGATGACAACAAGTGAAGGAGCTGATATTTGAGCCTAATATTTTCCTGCTAATATTATTTGAAAGGATTCTCTAATACACTTAAAATGGATTTGAGATATGAATCCTGCCTCATGCTTCCATTTTCATGCTTCAAATGGAAATAATTCTGGCAGATTGGAGGCCTTGTGAATAACACATCATCATGAAGCATATGCAAATCCATCCTGAGTTTAGACAGATACATAATTTGATTACTAATGTGCCTCCCCTCTTAAGGTTTAAAATTCTTATGTTTATTTTTTGTAAGATGGTTGACTCCCAGTAATGTAATTAAGATGAAGCCAGAATAAACAGGATAACCCTACACCAAAATAATTAGTTGGTGGGAGCTACAGATTTTAATTTTGATAGCCATACATCACAAGAATACCTAATTCAGCATCGGTCTTCTAACTATACTATTTCTTTTTATAACTAGCTGTTAAACTAATTTGAAGTTATGAAATCCCTAATATCCCATCATACCCTTTTTTTCTAGTACAACCACATATCAATTTGAAAATATTATTTGCTATTTGCTGTCTCCCAATTTATGGACTTCAATTATCATCATCTCTATCCTGGATAGCCACCGACTCTGAGATGATGGAATTGAAGCCCAACACACTAGAATGCAACTACTGTTCTCAAATGATTGCTCTGAAAGTTAGTGGTAAGACTTGGTAGTTATTACGTTGATACAAGAAGAGTCATACACATCCTCTTGCACTCAGGGGTAGCATAAGAAAAATATGGTTTTCATTTAAAAAGTCATTTGTATCATTGAAGAGAATATAGGGGGAAATATATGTTTGTCAATGGAGGCAACAAATTAGAAACATAGTAGAGTCCTGTTCTGGTTTCAAGTACTGACTCACACATAATTTCTATGGTAGTTCATGGTTTACTCAATGCCAAAGAGATGACAGTTAAAGCATGCAAAACAAAACAGAGTTTCTATCAGACATTTGTCTGAAGTTTTGTTTTAACACGTAGAAGAATAGCCCCCAAATCAGTCAAAGATTCCAAGAGCAGAGTCAGGGTTGTCAGCCAGACCAGAAGTCAGAATTTCACATGCATAAACCACACAAATGTCATGCAATAGCCAGAAGTTGCTTCCAGCAATGGAACAGGGTTCAGAACTGCCTCCTGAATCAGTTTGCAGCCATTTGTCATTACTCAATGAGATTTACTCCCTTACTTTGCAAAAGCCTCAACAAACTTCTCTGATCTGCTCTCCATTCTATTCACTGGTCTGGAAGCTGGGTGGACTTACAATACATCCTCACTTGACTAATCCAGCTGTTCAGGTAATGTCTATTTTTGATCAGCCTCGTGTGATTCTTCACTTTATGTCTCCTGAGGTTGATGTTCCATTGGTCAGCTGGAACAGCTTCTTAAGAATCAGATTCAAAGTCTAAGGCCTGGGCCATGACACATAGCACTTTTCCTAATTAACAAAATTTATTACAGAAAAATCTATATTAAATAATATTTTGCTAATGTAATGATCATGAACGGCCTCATCCCTGACTCTGTTATTTTCAGTATGATACGATCAATGTACCTGATAATTCTATAAAAGGTTTCTTTAAAATGCAGAACTGAAAGGTCCTCCCCTATTCCCAATATAAAAAAATACAAATTCCTTCAGAAGCAAAGTCTTTTTAGTATCACAGAGCTACTTCAAATAGCTACTACAGGATGATGGTAGTCCCAATAGAAATTATGGTAACAGCAGCTCTTCCTTCTGTGCACTTTGCCTGGATATTTACATAAACATAACCCATACATAGGATTACCAGATTTGGACTGTAAAAATCTGGATGATCACTAGACACTGTAACCCTTTACTGCCAACATTACTTTGCTATGATCCTTTACTGCAAATGTTTCAATTTCTCCAACTCATATTTGAAAGTCTCAATAATTTCTGCTTTGATTCTGAGACTGATAAAAAGCAATCGATGGAATTAAGTCATAACCTAGATCATTGTAGTAAGATACCGCACAACAAATTTGCTGAATTAAGTCAACATTTTTCACTGGTATCAATCCAGCATTTGGATTCTTCTACATCAGGAATGGGGAATTATGGCCCCTTTGTGACCTGTGGACTTCAACTCCCAGAATTCCTAAGCTAGCATAGTTCCCATTCAGTTCCCCACCCGTGTTCTAGATGATGGCAACTAGGTGCTGAGACTTCAAGTAACACATGTCAATGCATTGTATGAGACACTCAAAAGTTTGAGCCTCTAATCTCTAATTATCCTTTTGGATAATCTAAATGAATATCCTTTTAGTTCATTTTCTTTTGCTATGAATATTCTTTTGTCTATGGCCACAATTTGAATAAGAACTGTACAACATTAAACAACTTTTATAAAATCTGATACTTTCTATGAATCTGTAATTGACCGTACCTGGAAAACAGCTGCAGCTTTTCAACTGGTGCTGCCTCTTGGCAAGTCTCTCATTCAGACTAAAGGAAGGATACAGACAAGCAGGTTTAATGCTGATTTTGAATGAATTATTCAGAACTCTTTAGGTTTGGCACCTCATTCTGTTGACAGTGTTTTTGGTTATTGAATTTATTTCCTAATGTACCAAGTGTGACTATTATTTTACAGTGGTGCATAAAACGCTGAAGAGAGCCAAAATAAACAGGATGGCATTTAGTGCTCTTCCTAACAACCAAAGGCAGTTGCTGGAATAAATATTGTGTTATGTGTAGCATGTTGGAATGTGGGAATTAAATAGTCAGTATTTATTTAATTTATATGATAGCCTGTATCTTTTTTGCAGGGGAAGGGAGGCTTGGATCTTGTGAGAGGGAGTTCCAAGATTCCAATTCAGAATATGGAAAAGTAGGACGCAGAATGGATATATTATTCACTGCCTGTGGTATCATCTCTTTCTACCTATGGACCCTACCCTGGTAGATGGGGAAGGAGTCTTCATTTGCCTGTTGTTAGCTAAATATGTCTCTGTCTTTAGGGGGCAAAAAGGAACTTCCTAATAATTTCTGTCTCTCTTCTATTCAAGACACTTTAGGTAGAAATGAAGCTTTCCTATCCCATATCTTTCTTTTTAAAAATCCAACTTTTACTTCAAATCCTAACGAATGTCTTAAGGCAGGGGTCTCCAACCTTGGCAACTTTAAGGCTTGTGGACTTCAGCTCCCAGAATTCCTCAGCCAGCTTTGCAAAGCTGGCTGAGGAATTCTGGGAGCTAAAGTCCACAAGCCTTAAAGTTGCCAAGGTTGGAGACCCCTGTCTTAAGGCATGCAGTTGTCTGTATCCAGGGCAACTATATTGTGAGCTTTTATTTATTCTTTTTCAGTGAGACTTGTTGCTACTTAATTATCAAGTATTATTTTAGTATTCTGCATTTACTTCTACTTGGGAGCACATAATCTAATAATGACTGGCGTTGAGTTGAAGTGTCCGACATTATTTTAAATATAAATTTTGGTTTGTTATTCCATTATTTTTATTGTTTTATGGCTGTTTTATTTATTGTTGTTGTGGTTGCTTATGATGGGCAGCCATATAAATCTTCAAAATAAATACATAAATCTATCCTTACTAAATGGCTGCCATGATCTCTTTTAACTTACTTACTCGGATACCTGGGTTTGTTGGTTGAAATATTCTTAAATGAATAAATGGTTAGATGATGATCTATAGCTTTTGGGGGGAGGGAATATACAGGTCATCTATAGACTCAGTCAAGTTTTATTTAAAACAAGGACTACTGTCACTTTTTAGGTGCTCAGATGGCATACATGTTGCTCCATTTATCCATCTCTAAATCCTTCCACCCTAATTAATTTTTCCCCATGGCCAACATCAGTCTGAAAAAAAAACTTCCTAGATACAGATTATTCCAAAACTTTATAAAAGTCAGCTACTGAAAGTGGAAAAAATCAGAAACTCACAGTGCCCTTTTCCACTTAAAAATCAGATTGTAATTCATGGTACCCGCTTCCATGAGACCAGGGGAGACATGATAATGATCTTCAAATATTTGAGGCGCTGCCACAGAGAGGAAGGGGTCAAGCTATTTTCTAAAGCGCCTGTAGGCCAGACAAGGAATAATGGATGGAAACTGAACAAGGAGAGATTTAACCTGGAAATAAGGAGAAACTTTCTGACAGGGAGAACAATCAACAATGGAACAACTTGCACTCGGAAGTTGAGGGAGCGCCATCACTTGAGACTTTCAAGAAGAGATTGGATTGCCATTTGTCAGAAATGGCGTAGGGTCTCTCGCTTGGGTGGGGGGTTGGACTAGATGACCTATAAGGTCCCTTCCAACTCTGATTATCTTTATCTGTTCCATCCTCAACTCAAAATATTCTTCAAAAATGAAAAAACAAAAAACAAAAACAGGACAAATGGCAGTGTGGATTTGCATAATGGGATTAAAGGGATGTGCTAAAACACTGACATACGTTATGCCTAATTACCTAATGTAAATGGAACCACAATAACATTACCTCAGGAAAGAACTCTTAACTTCTGATATCTGCATCCTCCATCCCCAATTCCTTTTACCATCCCATATGCATAAAAAAGCTAAGAAGGAAACAAAAAGACCAACACCCAGATAAGCAAGGATTAACATCAGGCAAACAAGCAGAAAACAATACCCTAATTGAGAAACTACCAAGGATAAAAAAAACCACCTTCATCAACACTGGAAGGCCAAGTTAATGTAGATAAAACCCCACACACCTCTTGCACTGATAATGTTACCTAGTTGGGTAATGAAATGTCTGCAAACAACCAAGAGAGCACTAAGGACTCCACAATTCATCCTGTGCTACATATATTCTCTTTTGTCAAGACAGTCCTTTGTTTGACTGGATAACCTTTTGTTTCCTTTTTTTAAATGCTTACTTGATAGTTTTGATGCTGTTGGTATCATCTGGAGAAGTAGAACACAATTGGCAAAATCCAACATGCACTTGGGCAAAGTTTAACATTCTGATGGGAATTGCAATTACCAAGATGAGTCTTCTGGAGGAATCAAGTTCATTATAAGCATTGATGAGCCACGGTGGCGCAGTGGTTAGAGAGCAGTACTGTAGACTACTTCTGCTGCCTGCCGGCTGCCTGCAGTTTGGCAGACCAAATCTCATCAGGCTCAAGGTTGACTCAGCCTTCCATCCTTCTGAGGTGGGTAAAATGAGGACCCAAATTGTTGGGGGCAATATGCTGACTCTGTAAACTTCTTAGAGAGGGCTGTAAAGCTCTGTGAAGTAGTATATAAGTCTAAGTGCTATTGCTATTTGAAAATTTGTCAGTGCCAAAGAAAACACCGCAATTTATGATAGTGAATTTTTTGTTCGTAAGATGACCTGGACAAATACCACAACTGAATGTTCGGATCTACATAATTAGAATACGTATTCAGCAATCGGAGATACACTTCAACAAGATTTATGATTTAGATAATTTATAATACCTGGTTCATGTTTTTCTAGACATTGTTCACTAGCTTCTTTGTTTCATGGAATATTTAGTATGAGAATTGAGGTCCATTGTTACAGTATATATTTGAGGGGTGAAAAATAAAGGAGGAATTTTTTTTTAAAAAAATTAATATATCTGGGCGACTTTCTAATCCATTAAGTTGGGTAGACCACTTGTATAAGAGATTGATTTGATTTTGGCATGCTTAAGGGGGTTTCTAAAAATGGTTTCCTAGCCTAAGACCAAATAACATTAGCATATTATGACTTTAGGTCCTCCATGAGCCTCTGATTGATGAAGATCCAGTTTTCATTGCCACCTGCACAGAGCGAGAATTACGTAAGAGAAAAAAACGGAAATTCAGTCTCTGGGTACGGCAGTGCTCATCAACCGGTTTTATATGCCAGGTAAGTGCCAGAAGAATGGACTGCTAAGTTCCAAGCCACCATTTAAAGAAGCTGTGTAGTCTGCCGTAACTTTTAGTAGACTTTTATCCTATACACACAAATAGATAGATCCAAGTTTATAAACATGTGATTCATACCCAGTTGAAGTTTCCCTAAGATATTGAATAGGAAGGTTTTTTTTAGTGAAACTTCCCTAGCAACAGATGATTTTATATAGAAAGTATTGAAGCAAGAATAGTTCTAAGGGATTTCATTTTCATGGGAATGCATAAGCCACTGTTCCAAAATGTATGTTTTAGGGACTAATCTCTGAGTACAAAATGATGGATGGTATTAAATTCCACTCAGCAGTGTTAGTTCATGCTATGGCTACATCAGTTTGATGGAGTGTAGCAATTTACTTCCACTGAGATCCTGGCAATTTTCTTTGGTATCCATTCCTTCTGTTGGGTTTTCTCCCAAGTGAACATTACGTTATTTATGGGAAGTTGTAACTTCCCATCTTTTTTTTTTAATTAACTGGAATATTTCTCTTAATATTTCTCTTAATCTCATTAAGGGGTTTTTGTGCACTCAAAGAGCAGGATATTTTTTTAAAACTATAAATAAATGTAAATAAAATTATCCTAAACTCAAGAGATAGGCCAACAAGTCCTGTTAGTTCTCCAGGAAGCTCATCCTACTGTTAATTTTGTCCATTGCTACATACATGTTTGGACTCAATTACCAGTGATGATGAGTGTACTTTTGGAAGTTCTGAAAGAACAGTTTGGGATAGATTGTCAAAAGAAATTATCTACTTTATTGTATAAAACTGAAAACAAATTGATGACATGTCTATCAATTAACCAACCAACCAACCAATCAATTAATCAACCAACCAACCAACCAACCAATCAATCAATCAATCAATATGTTTGTTTGACATGGAGAGCTAAAATTCATACTGTAGGAAAGTTTGGACTCAACTTATGGGCCATGAAATTCTGGACTGGTATTTGAAATTCCCAGCTTTCACCTTCTGAAATCTGTCATGATCACCAGTTCACTTGTTTATTGCATTTATATGTTTCCTTCTTTCTGTGAGCTACAATAAACTGGTTTCCAAAGGTTATTCCTATCATTTTATTCTCAAAAGAATTTGGTTATTCATAGAAAGCATAGAATCATAGGACAGGAAGGGAGCTTAGAGGTCTTTTGGTTCAAAACTCTGCTCAAGGCAAGACCAGAACTGGAAGCAATATTCCAAGATGGGTCTCACTAGTGCAGTAGAAAGCGGTACTATTGCTTCTTGTGATCTTGATGCTATCCCTCTGTTGATGCAGCCTAGGACTGCATTGGCTTTTTTGGCAGTTGCAACACATTGCTGGTTTATATTTAAAGGACTATCCACTAGGGCACCTCGATCCCTCTCACAGTGACTACTGTTGAGCCAAGCATTGCCTATTCTATACCTGTGCATTTGGGCTTTCCTACCTAATTGCTGGACCTTACTTTTCTCACCATAGAACTGCATTTTATTGGATAGGACCCAATGTTTAAGGTTACTTTAGTTAGCTTAGGCTAAGAGAAAATGATGGGAGAACCGAGTCCAAGTTCTCCAGTTTCAGTCCAGGATTTCCGTCATGACATTGCACTGTTAAGTCGTTTCCTACCCAGCCATTGATCCCAACTATTTATAGAGTAGCTTCATACCCTTCATTGTAAGATTACGTAATATTAGGTTTTGGCCATGATAAAAAAAGGCGTAATAAAGCAGTGCCCATGCCTACCTGGGCAAAAGAGGCAAATGAAATTACATGTATTACAATGTTATGGCACACATTATTCAAACTAATAATGTAATCTGTTATGTTGCTGCTGATGCCATTGCCATAAGTTGTGCTATTTGCATGACGAAAGCTTAAAGCATGTGACTTCATGGTGGCTTGTACCAAATGTGCTTATGAGAGTTGAGTGTCCCGAGAGATGGGAAGCTGCCTAGTGAGTAACAGAAAGCAAACTCTGGACTCCCCAATGAAGCTTATTTCATCCAATCCCTTGACCATGCAGGGACAGGGTTCGACAATAAAAACAGACCTTTTGGAATCTTAGCAATGCAAATAAAGAAATCGAAGTAACCCTCAAAATCAAATATCTAACCAAGGGGAGTAAATAGGTCTGGTTGCAGTCGTTTATTTATTTTACTTATTAAGAAAATGTCCAACTCACTTATGGTGACTCCAGGCAGCTTACAGAAATAAGAGCCCAATACAAAAATCCAATAAATCCTCACTCCATTGCTGAGAGTAATCAAACCAACTATTTGATGGGTTCCATGTCACCCTGAGGTCCTGCTAGGTTTGTTGGCCAGGCCTGAGGCTTGTTCTCCTGTATTCACATAATCTCAATAAGCCTGCTAGCCTCAGCATATCAGCACCTCCTTACCTGAGTAGTCTCTGGTCTCGTCCTTTTCTCTAAGTAAGGCTTCGTAGCATGAGGAACCAGCTCTCTTTCCTGCCTGGGCAATGAGCTCAGTCCTGGCCAGCCAACAGGGAAGGGTGGGAAAATTTACTTATACAGGCCTGGTCAGGCTTATCGAGCAGAACACTTTCTCTGTAAGCTTCTCTTTGTCCTCCTCTGGCATCTGCCACCTCCTTCCAGCTTCTTCTCCAACCCTCACATCTGCCTTTCCTTTGGAGCAGCCTTTATGCCTAGCGAGCACTGAGTTTGCAGGCACCCATTGTCATACTCACAAGGAAGCCGGTGTTTTCCCTTCCCCATGCTAAGTTATTATGAAAGCATGTTTTTTTTATTTAAGCAATGTGCTGTTTTGCTTTGCATGGTAACAGGCACAGGCTATCGATGATAAAGCAAATCTGACAAGAATGTAGCCCTTTCAAATATACCAGGATGTAACAGTAAATTATGTTCTGTCCATCCTCATTAATATATATCATCCAACTGTTAGGTCAATGAATGTGAATAGTATTCAGCACATCAACCTCAACAGTGTGGAGAAAGGAAGGCAATTGACACTTATGTTGGCTTCCAAATAACATTCACAATAATCTCAAGAGCTTTTGTTTATCAGCATCTTGAGAGCACTTTCTTAATATTAGAAAAGGATTTTTATGAAGTTTTGAAACAAACACATCATTGGTTGCAATGACAGATGTGGGATATTTTTCCCTCAGTGACTATATACTTAAATGCATATTTGACTTTATGTTGATGATCTCCTGGGTGCATTTACACAAAGGCCAAGTTGAAGTCAACCATTTATTTGGAGACTGCCTGCTGTTCTGTGCAGGAGGAAAACAATAATTTGCTCAGTATTGTGAAAAAAGCTTTAGTTGTGGGGAAAATGATTAGTCTTAGCCAGAGATATAATTGAATTAAATGAGAAGAAATTGCATTCTCTCTCTCTATCTCTCTCTCCCTCCCTCCCTCTCTCTCCCTCCCTCCCTCCATATATAAATGGATGGATAATTTGTAGTTAAGTATATTGGAGCTATCAAGCCATTGCATTAAACCATAATGTCCTCTTTTGGACATGGTATGTTACTTGAACATAGCAGCTGTGATTTATTAATTAGGATTTGTGTATCACATGAAACTAATTCCTCTGTGCCCTGGGCTATCATCACCCACAGAGGAATACTTGCCTTATTTTTAATAGCAGTCCCATCCCCATTGATCAAAGGATAGAACCTTCAAACTGATCTTCTGACATGAAACTGGCATTTGTTAACCTCCTGTTAGACATTCACATCCTTCTGATCTAGTAGCTTTCAGTTGCCTGTTTTGGATTCGAAGAGAATTTAATTATATGACTGTGTAATGACCAAGACTTAGCTTGTCTGCATAGGAAGATTAAAGTTCGGAATTTGGAGTTTAGAACCCTCTTGTATATCCTTGAAGCTGCAAAAATGGCGGTCCTTGAGAATTTGGGATACAGTCCCAGATGTTCCCACTGAATTGTACATATTGAAGTTGCAATGGGCCAAATTATTAAATACAAAGGAATAATAAGCTTGCTGCATTTAAATTACTAAATAAATAAATAAATAAATGGCAAATGACAAATAGAATAAAATCTCATTTTGGTCCTTTTGTGCCCATCTTATTCTCCTTTTTGGCATGTTGCACTTCAGTGTATAAATCAAAGCCAAGGGCACTTTTCAAGCTATAAAACACTGACCATCTGTGCTTTCAACATCAAATAAGAGGAACAGTGCAGGATAATAGGTAAAAGTCAATTTGATCTGCTTTTGAAAGTGAACTGGCCTGATTTTGATGGAATATATGAATTTAGTTAACTCTCTAAGAAAGAGGACAAACTTTCTGGCAGACATCAAGCTTGGAATCCCCAAATGGACATCTTCTAGCTGAGTCCACTGTTTCTGTGGTCATTAGCTGTAAATTAATGTTGGGACAATTTTTATTCTTTTCCATTCATGAAATCCTTTACTCCCTGTTTTATTCCTGATTTTTTTTTTTCACAAGGAGTGAAAGAAATGTTTAATTTTGGAAGAGGTGACCAGGGGGATTCTGTTTAGTTCGCCTTTCTTCTCATTTGATTCATGTTCTTACAAGCATACAATTGTCTGGGTTCCAAGTAGTACATCCATAGCAAATAGAACAGTAGTTTTATTGGATATATCATATTGGCACAGGCTGGTGAAAACTGACTCTGAAAGTTCCCACATTTTCACTTAATTAAAAGTAAAAGTTTTTTTCTCTTCCCCAAACAATCAGTCCCATAGTCTAATCAAGGTGTGGTCTGGTTGCCTGGTAACTTCATTCTTCCTCTCTCCGACCACCTGTGGGAATGTCCTTGGTTCCCAGGAGGAAGTATTTTGTTTTTGCTACAAAACCCCAGCTACCTCTATTCTCCCCTCTCTATCCCCCAGCTCCAGTGTGGCAACACTGAAGCCTCAAAATGGCTTTGGCCAGGTTAGCTTCAAGGTTGACAACGATTGCTTCCTCTGGAAAGTTGCTCTTTCCCTTCCTATAGTTAAATTTACTCTCCGATAAAAAGGAGAGTTTGATGTTTTCATATATATGCACAAAGGCCTTTTTAAAATGAACAAAGGAAAACAAAAGATTAAAAGATGCCTTAAGCTATTTCCACTGGATGTAATAAAGTCATGCAACCTTTTGTTTCTCCTGACCCATGCAACCTTTTATTTCTCCTCTCTCCCTGTTGAGCCTGTCTAAATAAGTGCTCAGTTCTTTGCATTTGTTTTGCTCTCCTGTTGATTTTGTCCCTTCCTTGTCTCAATGGAGGAGAAAAAATAAAGAAAAACAGTGGACACATTGGCTATTGTAACCTGCTGAAGGGAGAGGATTTTATAGTTTTGTCCTCTACAGCTTTAAATGATTTGTTGCTATCCTATCTGTGTTGGACAAGAATAAACAAATTTTCTTGTTTATGCTTTTACAGTTTGGTTATTGTTTTGGAACCTTTAGGTCCATTGGAACTCCCGAAGAAGCCCCTGAAATTTTCTTGTGTGTGTGAGAGAGGGGGGGGAGAGGGAGGGAGGGAGAGAGACCTCCTGGTTTCTAATTTGATGCCTTCACCCCTACACCATTACTCTTTTTAGTCTGAGGTAGGCTCAAATATTTAACAATATTTCTTCTCTGAATCTTTTTAGTTTCATGGCTCTGCTTCTCAGATGCATGGAAGTGAGACCTATGAGCCAATTTAGACTTTCCTTTTAAATTTTCTTTGATAGTTGTACATGTTTCTTGGCTTGCATTTTTACATTTGCTCCTGTTGATATGCATGATCAACAACTACATTTTACTATGTATTTTATGAATGTATCTGGTCCTCCCTCCTTCCTTCCTTCCTTCCTTCCTTCCTTCCTTCCTTCCTTCCTTCCTTCCTTCCTTCCTTCCTTCCTTCCTTTCACCTATTTGTAAACCTATGGACATTTTAAGTAGAAATCTACCAGTGCAGGTTAATGGATGATGTTGCCTGCCCTAATTTTGAATAGGTCTGACTCCCAAACCTTAATTGATTTACTAGCTCTGCACTGAGAGTGAAAAATATAAGCCTGGGGTGAATTTCCTTTTCAAGGGCAGAACTGTAGGAGAATTAGCCATCTGTCTTTTTTTTTTAATCAAGCAGCAGTGAAAAACTAAACAATCCCTGTTATATAAACCCAGATTCAACAGTTATGTCTGTCTGAAGAAAAAAACCCAATAAAAATACAACAAATTAAAGCTAAACATTTGTATCATCTATGCTTCTTCACTTCTTTCCATAGTGGTATATTTTGATATAACATATGCAATTTTACTTTTTAATGTATTTTTTAAAACAAATGTAAACATAAAGGTTTTGTGTACTATAAAGACCTGTGCTGGTGCAGTGGTTAGTGTGCAGAGTTGCAAGCTAACTCTGCCCACAGCTAGGAATTTGATCCTGACGGGGCTCAAGATTGACTCAGCCTTCCATCCTTCCAAAGTCATTAAAATGAGGGCCCATTTGTTGGGGGCCATATGCTGACTTTGTAAACCACTTACAGAAGGCTGCGTAGCACTTTGAAGTGGTATGTAAGTCTATTGCTATTGCTACTGCTACTTGGGCATAATGGTAAACTACATTATGAGGGAAATAAATATGAGTTTTTCTTTTTAATTCTCAAATTTCCCTCTGCTTCAGAAAAGTTATCAGGATAGGTTGGGTTTCATTTAATCAACCTCTAAGGTCACCTGGACAGTGATTAATTTTAGAGCTGTTTTGCTCAAACAAGTCAGATTAATAAATCACAATTTAAACTGGTGTAGCCACAGTGTGAAATTGAGCTCACTGTTTTTAAGCTAAACATCCTTAACTCAGCCAACATGGCAACCTGCAGTTAGACTACAATACAAGCAAACCTTCCTGGATGATTATGGCTATATAGTTTGTTTCATTGCTTGAGTGGAATCTTTGATCATTTGTTGACACCTCTCCAGGTCTGAGATGGCATCAGCTATTGACTTTGTGGGTGGATTCTAGAGTAAAGTTTAAAGTAAAGATAAGTTTAAATTCTTGCTTCTTGTTTGGGATCTTGAGGAGTGAAATTGTGACCTTTCCTCTAATGAAATCGGGAATATTGTTTCTTTTGTGGCATTGAGAGAAGAAGACTGACAAAATATTGGGGAAAGGACCATGCAGTTAAAATCTCATCTTGCCCCACTACCAGCAGACATAGTCAACTGGGAAATAAACAAGATTGGAAATTGCAAAAGTTTGAGTCCAATTCTGGAAGGTGCCAGGAGGGAAAGGGTTGGTCAATAGCATGTCATAAATCTCTTTGTACATTAACTTTTTTTCCCCCTTGCTATTCTCTGTCCATCCACCCACCCTGTTTCTTGTTAGATCTATGCCCATCTGAAAGAAAGCAGTGGGACTGAGGGTCTGGATGCTTTGAAGAACAAAGCTCAGCTTCACAGCATAGTGGCCAAGAGTCTTTGTCAGAATGTCACAGGGAAAAACTGTATCATCTTCACTGGCCCCAGCATTACCAGCCTGAACCTCTTTGAAGAATTTGAAAAACAAGGTTAGTTGCCAGGCAATGCATGGATCTTAGATCAGTCCTTTGTGGGGCGCCTGGAACCATCATGAATGTTACTCTTATTACACTGCTAAATATAAATATGGCTATCCCAGTGAAACATAATAACAGGTTTCCTTTGTTATTATGATAAATTGGAGATCATTCGTGTCTCATTGTTGAGTTTTGGGGCAGGGGACAATAGTAGAATCATGGATAATATAGCATTTCTGGACCAATGAAATCAATGAAAGATGGTTTGTGCATGTTCTATGTTTGGACTTCTGCTAGCCTTCATGCTGTATAATCTCTAGGAATCCATATTATTTATCCTTCTTTTAGGTTGTGTTGAAAGTTAAACTCCCAACTTTTTTTATGTTTAAATTTCATTTTAAAGCAAATGGCTGGCTTTTCTCTTTTGGTTGGCTACAAGACTGACATGGAAAATGAAGTCTTATTGGACATACAAAAAAAAATGGTTGATGTTTTCAAATCAAAAGAGAATTACAAATAGTAAACCACTGAATATTTTTTTAATCATTTGATATAGAAAGCTTGGATGAATCTTGTGAGAAGGGACAAAAAAGAATCAACATCAAGTTTTATAATATTATTTGAATGGACTAATGATTAAGATTGTTAGAAGTGAAAGAAATGTATATAAAGTTGGTTTATTTAATCAAGATTAAAGTAGATATGGTATTATTTCTGGCAATCCTAAATGGACTTTTGCCGACTGATGATGCTTTAGAAATTTATTGATAGATAAGAGATGAGTCAAATACACACACACACATTTACTATATACTTAACTTTCTTTTCTCTACATTTATGTCGCTTCCTTTGCAATTTTTACTCTTTCTACTTTTCTTTTTTTTAGTTTGTGCTAGTTTTACTATAGAAATTATAATCTTTAATAAAATTATTTTTAAAAAAAGTTTAAACATTGGAATTTGTAGCTAATGTTTGGATTATGAACCTGTCCTGCCTTCTCCCTCCCTCCCTCCCTCCCTTCTCTCTCAACACCTACATACCAGACATCTATCTAAATATGTTCAGAACAATTTTATGGTTCTCATCCAAAAGTCAGTTCCACTGGCATCAACAGGGCTTTTTTCCCTTTGTAACTCTGGAGAGAATTGCAGCCTCATTTGTCTACTTTTGTCATCACTTTTTCCAAAACAACTCCCTTGGCTTCTCTGAGAAAGATCATTAGAAGTTGCCATCAATAAATCTTCACACAAACTCAGTCTCTCTCTCTCTTTCTCTCTCTCTCTTTCTCTCTCTCTCTTTCTCTCTCTCTCTCTTTCTCTCTCTCTCCCTCCCTCCCTCCTCTCTCTCTCTCTGTCTCTCTGTCTCTGTCTCTCAGTCTCTCTCTCTTTCTTTCTGTCTCTCTCCCTTCCTCCCCCCTCTCTTTGTCTGTCTCTGTCTCTGTCTCTGTCTGTCTCTGTCTCTCTCTCTGTCTGTCTCTCTCTCTCTCTCTCTCTCTCTCTCTCTCTCTCTCTCTCACACACACACACACACACACACACACACAGAGGAAGAGGGAGAGAAAGGGGGATGGAAAGACACCCTTAGTCTTTATTGTCTGTTTTGAAAAAAAGCCATTTGCTGTTTGCTTCAGCAGCAAGGTCACTCAAAGTGACAAGTGGTATGAACATAGCTACTCAAAAGCTATTGAAGAAGGAACCAGTTAATGTGTAGAGGGTATCACCATGGTGGCTGCCTTGTTTTTTTCTTTCTTAGACTGAGGGTGAGATGAAGGGTTTGATTCTGCGCATGGAGACATTCAGTGAACCACATTAAATGAAGAACCAGCATATGATCAGACTGTGATCATCTGGATTGCCTTCATGCAGTCCAGTTGTGTTGTGGCACAATATTTTTTTGGATGAAACATATGGTTTAGACTTAAAAATAAAGGACAAGACAATTGATTCAGTTAAATTTTATTGCATGTTCTCATAGTCACTGTCAGTTGTTTTACATTTTGCACATCTCATTTATTAATGTGGCCCATTGAAGAGCTTCTTCAGAGGATTTTAAGCTTTAATTTCTCTTTTAATTTTAATAAACAACCAGAAATTTGTAGCACAGATCAGGGTTGTTGGAAGCCATTAGCTTCAAAATGATGACTGTGACGGGTGAAGTTCTGATTATCCAATTCTACCCACCATTTTGGAACCATTGACCATTGATGCAGTTGTTTCTTAGTAAGATTAGGTGTCTCTCTTTCACATATGTGTACACCAATAATTTCTTGTGATCAAATAATATCTACTAGATTTTATCTACTAGATTTTCTTTTTTTTAAATTTTTATTGGTTTTTAAGACAAACATAGAAAAACAAAACATAAAAACATTAAGCCATCTTCCATATATATACATACAGTGTGTCGGTTGGTTTACAAATAGTCTTCAATCACGGTTACATTGTATACATTCTCATATTTTCAATCAAATATTAAATACATTAATATCATTCTTAATCAATCATTTGACTACACTTTTATTCATTCATATTTTACTTAATTTGTTTTATGACAGTTCATATTATCATCTCAAATCTATCGTACAATCATTTTGTAGATACAATAAGAAAAGAATACATCTTTATATATTTATTATTTTCTAAGAATCTACATATTTCATTACTGTACTTTATTGTCTAACCATTGATAGAAAAGATCCCAAATTTCATAAAATTGTTTATCATCTCGTTCTCCGATTTCAAATGTCAATCTGCTCATCTCAGCACCTTCCAATATTTTCTTAATGATTTCCTCCTGTAATGGTATTTTCTCATTTTTCCAGTTTTTGGCAAATACAATCCTAGCCTCTGTTAATACATTTACAATCAGGTACTTCAATTCTCTATAATATATTTCAGGCAAAATTCCCAATAAAAATATCTCTGGTTTCACATTGCCAATTCACATTATCAAATGCCTTCTGTGCATTTAGAAATATCAGAGCCATTTGTTTTTCAGGATGTGCCTCATAGTATTCCAAGGTGTCCAAGATTACTCTCATATTGTCTTTAATTTGTCTCTTTGGCAGAAATCCATTTTGATCAGGATGGATAAAATTATTTAAATTAAAAATTATTTAAATATTTTTTAAGTCTTTCTGCCAATATTGAAGCAAAGATTTTATAAACTGCATTTAGTAGAGAAATGGGTCTATAGTTCTTAATTTGTAATGGGTCAGCCTCCTCTTTTGGAATAAGTATAATATAGGCTTCTGACTGTGATTTAGGTATCTTCTTCTTTAACATAACTTCATTTATAACTTCTAGCAATGGAAGATTCAACGATTCTTGTAATGTTTTGTAAAATTCTGCCGGAAGTCCATCTGGGCCTGGTGCCTTTCCATTATTTTGCTTCTTGAGTGTTTCAGTTAACTCCATCATCGTTATATTGCTTTCTAACATTTTTTCAGTCTCTTTAGGTATCTGGGGTAAATTAGCATTCTGTAAGTACTGCTTAACTCTTTCCTCATCAATATTCTCTTGCTTATATAATTTCCCATAGAAGTCTCAAATGATTCCTTCTTCTCTTTGCTACCATGGCAAACTTGGCCTTGGTCATCTATTAATTGCAATATTTTCCTTGATTCTTTCTCCTTTCTCAATTTGTATGCTAACCATCTACCTGGTTTGTTTGCGTCTTCAAAGTAGTTCTGTTTAGCACCTCTAATTTTCTGTGCTAATTCTTCTTTTTCTATTTGACCCATTTTATGTTTAATTATATCCATTTTTAGCTTGATGTCCTTTTTTTGTGGCATTTTCTGTAGCTCTTTTTCAAGTCTTTTATGCTCATCCTCTAGGGCCTTAGAGGCTAGCCTTTTCATAGTATTCCTTTTCATTGTATAATGTATTATCAAGCCTCTAACATAAGCCTTCATTGTATCCCATACATTCTGAATTGATGTATCTTCTTTTTTGTTTTCTCTAAAGAAAAAAGCCAGTTCTTTCTCCATCCACTGTGTGAAGTCTTTTTCCTTTAAAATAGTATTATTTAACGTCCATCTAGATCTTCTTTTTTGTCCTTTCCATTTAATTGTCATTGGACTGTGATCTGCCCAAGTACTTGTTTCAATATTTATTTCTTGAATGCTAGATATTAATTCTGTCAACATCCATATCATATCTATTCTGGACCATGATAAGTGTCTATTTGAATAGAAGGTGTATTGTTTAGTTTTAGCATTTCTTTCTCTCCTTGTATCTTTTAAATTTATTTCATCTACCATTTTAAAAAAAGATTTGGGGAGAGTCTTTCTGTTTTGCTTTGTTGTTTTCTGTGCTGTATAGTCCAATTTATTGTCTACAATTCCATTAAAATCTCCCATCATAACTATATTAGCATAGTCCAGTTCAATTATTTTCATATGTAATTTTTTTTTAGAATACTTCTTGTTTGTCATTTGGAGCATAAATTGCAATCAGGAGTGTTTTCGTATTATTGTCCATTATTTCCACCATTAGTATTCTTCCATTATCATCGGTATAGATCAATTTTGCTGGGGTGGTCTCTTTAATATATAAAACCACTTCTCTTTTCTTACATTGGGTCAAGGAAGTAAATATTTTCCCTAATTTTGGCTGTACCAACAATTGTTCATATTGTTTTTTAATATGTGCTTCTTGTAGACAAATTATATCAAATTTTAATTTCTCTAGTTTATGAAAGGTTTTCCTTCTTTTAACCGGCTGAGTTAAGTCCATTTATATTAATTGTAATCAATTTTTCTTTTCCATGGTTATATTTTATAGTTAGGTTTAGCAGCTCTCATAGATCTTAGTTTACATTGTTCTTTGGCTTCCACCTTTCCATCTACTGCGCCTTCTTTTTCAGTCACCATTTGGCAGTCCTCTTGGAATTCAATTAGTGAGATCTCTTTTTCTGCCTCTTCCTCTTTCCTTCCAAAAAATTCTGTATAAAATAATTCCACTTTCTCAATTGAGTCAATTCTATGTCTCTGTTCTTGGCATGTGAACATTAAACCTTCTGGAATCAGCCATCTATAATTCACCTCTTTTTTAAGTAGCATTTTAGTCAGAAATCGGTATTCTCTTCTCATCTATCTCACTCTTCTGGGTATTTGTTTCAAGACCACAATCTCCTTGTCTTTGTATGTCAATGTTTTCTCTTTTGCCACTTGCAATATTTGCGTTTTAATGGCTTTCTTTGTAAATCTAATGTGAACTTCACTTGGTAAGCTATTTCTCATCACATATCTTGTGAAAACTCGATAAACCTCATCTATTCCATCCTTCATCTTCTTGAGTTATTTCCAAAGCTTCAGCCAGTATTTCTATCACTATCTCAACTAGGTTTTGTCCTTTTTCTTCCTCTATGTTTTGGAATCTGAGGTAGAATTCTGATCTTTCCAACTCCCATCTCAACATCCCACTTTTATCTTGTTCAACCACAGTTAATCTGCTATCAATATCTCCAATCTTCTTATCTCTTTGTTTATCTTCTTCTTCAATTTTTTGGAATCTCTCATCATACTTCATCATCATTTGTTGAATGTTCTCCACCTTTTCATCAGTTTTTCCTGTTTTTTTGTTCAATGTTCTCTGTTCTCTTTTCAATATTCTCTGTTCTTATATTTGTATATTTTGAATTTCTTGCATAATCACCTGCAGCATCACTTTTTCCTGTTCTTTTTCTTGCTGTAACATCGTCTCTATAGAGCGTTGTCCTCCAGATGGTGAAGAGGAAGAAGTAGAAGTTGAGGAACCGGAGCTGTTAGTTTCCTACTCATTTTGGTCAATTCAAGATCTTCAGGTTCTTCTAGACCTTAATCCACTTGTGAAATAACCAATTGTAATTCCAAGTAAAAATAGTGGGGAAAAAGAAGCCAAATAATAATAACAGGTTCTTGTATACCTTACTCTAATTGATTGGTTAGATAGCAGTAAAAACTCAAAAATGGAAGAAAAGACCATGAACACACACACAAAAAAGAAAAAAAATTAAATCCTTTGAAAAGGCAGAAAAATAGAAAATAAAAAACTAAAGAAGAGAAAAGAAAAGTTCTTCAGGTTCTTCAACACCTTAATCTAATTAAAAAGTCTCAGGTATAAAAAGATGCATAAGAAAAAAAAGAAAGCCAACCAATATGGAAGCTAAATAGAAAAAATAATACAAGGGAGGGAGAGAGAAAAAAGAAAAGAGACTACTTCCTTTTTTAAAAAAGGGAAGGAAATCATTAATACTAAAGCTCTTCGTTTAAAATAAAATGCAAATGTAAAAATTAGACTTCAAAAACAAAAAGAAAGACAAAAACATGTTCCAAAAGACCAAAAATCCAAATAGCTATTACAAAAAATAAGCTAGTAAGGAGTGGGTTTGTTAAAGTAAGAAATAGCCCAGCTTAAAAAAAGTAAAAAGAGCACACTGCACCTTGTTTGGTTATCCAAGGCTTTTGTTAAAATTTATAACTCTCTTCTCCAGAGTCTTATCACCTTTTTTTTTCTATAAATTTCAACACCAGACTCCAGCTATTGATAGAAACCCAGAAGAGCACCTGCAATAATACTCTCCCATGCTCTTCCCTCTATCTTATCAAACAGGCAATGTCCTTGAAAAGAAGTCTCAGTTCTTTCTCAGCTTTTTCTGGTCAAGAAAAAAAAGAGATATAATATTTCCAAGCCTCTAGTTGGCAGTGTTACAAAGTTTCTTCTGTTTTTACTTTCCCCCTCCTTTTCCAAACAAGATACAATAAAAATTAATTAAAAAGGGAAAAGGATATTTTAAAAGATGACTAGAAGGGAGTCTCTAGCCTAGAATATTATACAGTCAAAAAGGAGAGAAAGGATAGGTGGGGGAAAAAAAAACAGTCCAGTTTGAAAATATAAAATCATGTGTAGAAAATCCAGCAATGAGAAATTTTTTTAAAAAAATATTACTTTGACTTCCTGTTTAAAATCGCCACTTAATCACTTCTGTCAAAACTTTTACAGATTCTTTCTTTTCCTTAGGGTGTCCTTTCAAATCTTAAAAGTAAAGAAAAACTTCTCACAAAACCGGCACACTTTCTCTTTCCGTTCTCTTTTGTTTTGGAGCGGTCCCAACTTCAGCAACTTTAATGGCTGCCTCTTTGCCGCTGGCAAAATAAAAGCTTCTCCTGGATCTACCAGGGACTTTGCGGTGTCCCTGGGATCAACAGGATGCGCTCTTTACATTCACTGTCTCTTCGGGATGGTTTAGATCCGTTTGGACTGTCCAGGAGCAAAGATATCGGCAACGATCTCAGACCTCCAAGATCGCATGCCATAATGTCATGATGCCAGCTCTGCCCTCTACTAGATTTTCTGACCTCATCCTTTAATGTCATTAAACAATTTCAAAACAGTTTCATGAGAGATGTGACTTTTGTACAGATGATACTTTTTTTTACAACAAATCAGAATAAAGGAAAAGTGTTGTTTTAATTACCTCTGGATTTTATTGTCCCAGTGGGGAATGGAATGGAAGGATTTATATTCATTGGAGGTCTCCAGGTGCTTCAAAAGGATGCAAATGACCAGCTGTCTGCAAGGAATATAAGTCCTTCCATTCCCCACTGTCCTGTCAGAGCTGAAAAAGCTTCTTGGATGAGAAGCGAAACATTTTTCAAAGAAAAAAACAAGAAAGTCCAGTTGCCTCCTGATAAAAAGCACCTTTGGGACAACCAGGACCTGGATGACTGAGAATCTCTACAGACTTCTGGTTTTTATTGTAATTGCACTTTTTAGTTTGAAGATTGATAATGTACATATGGTTGTGTAGCATTCCTAGGGATAATAAGTAAATAAATGATGAAATTAGTTATGTCATCTTATCCTGGGCATGTCATATTCCCTTCTGAAATGAATAAACTACATATCAAGTCTTTCAGATTTTAATGCTTGAAAGTGTGGAGGAGAATAGGACAACAACTAGTGTTTGACTGAGGTGGAGTATTTGTTTGGAATCAATTTTGCTAAATAAAAATATGACTTAGTTCATGTTTTTATGCTAGAACCAAAAGGTGATAGTATTCTAATGCAAACATTTTATTGTCTTCCAACTACAGACATTTATTGCTGTGGATTGCTAAGTACAAGAAAAAGTGACTGCACAGGGCTGCCTTCCTCAATGCTAAACAACCCAGAGACCCCCCAATCTCGAGGACATTACAGGATAAAAATGAAAGGAAATATGTCTTTGATCTGCTGGTACAACAAAGGCTACTTTAGATTTTTGACCAATGCTTATTCTCCGACTCAACAAGGTGAGCGGTTTGTTCTAAAGATGACTTCTTTCTATGACAAGGGGATTATGTAAGGTCTGAACTGTAGGAAAATTGAACAATCTAGGTTAGAATTTAGAGCAGAATAAAGTTAACTGCATCTTTCAATGCCATGCATATACTTTATAAATTTAAACCACACCATCTTGGAGCAGTAGCTTGAGAGATTGGGGAAAAAAATTTCTGCTGTTACTTAAGACACTAGTAGAGGAAGGGTTAATCATTCTCTGTTTCTGTTATTCATGTGGACTTACACATTTGCTATTGTTACTTCATATACATACAGTGAAACTCGAAAAATTAGAATATCGTGCAAAAAGTTCATTTATTTCAGTAATGCAACTTAAAAGGTGAAACTAATATATGAGATAGACTCATTACATGCAAAGCAAGATAGTTCAAGCCGTGATGTGTCGTAACTGTGATGATTGCGTCTTACAGCTCATGAAAACCCCAAATCCACAATCTCAGAAAATTAGAATATTGTGAAAAGGTTCATTGTTCTAGGCTCAAAGTGTCCCACTCTAATCAGCTAATTAAGCCATAACACCTGCAAAGGGTTCCTGAGCCTTTAAATGGTCTGGTTCAGTAGGAATCACAATCATGGGAAAGACTGCTGACCTAGAGATTTTCTAAATATTGGGAAACTAATGCTGTATAGGAGGAATGTCCAACTTTAAGACTGTAAGACTTCAACTCCCAGAATCCAACTTTCCTTGCTGTCTGGGGAATTCTGGGAGTTGAAGTCCACAGGTCTTAAAGTTGTCAAGGTTGGATATCCCTGCTGTACATATCCTACTTCCCGTGTGTTCTTTGAATATTGAACCAGTTTAAAATCAGGATGGGATGCCCTGCTGCCCATTGAGTCAACAAATCCAGTAGTATTTTCAATCAGCAGTATGACATGATGATATTTTATGCATTTTGGTTGCAACAGGAGTTATCATCAAGAGGAAGAGTGGAGAGATCCCATGCCCTCTGGCAGTGGAAGCCTTTGCTGCTCATCTTAGTTATATTTGCAAATATGATGACAAATATAGCAAGTAAGTAAACAACAATTTATGTGGTTGGAAGTGCGAAACATTTATTAATTATTTAAACAAAATTCAGGACCTTATATGACTCTGTGTAGCAGCAGAGTGAAATAAGAAATTACCTGCCAACTTTTCATTCTCGGCAGAATATTTCTTTTTAAAAATGTAATTGTTTAAGTAAGTAGTTTAGCAACTTTTAAGTATTTGGACATAATCTATGTACAGTTGTTTATTTCCAAAGCGCACTTGTCAAATCTTCAGTTCTGCAGTACTTCAAAAGATTCAAAGGAAATACAGCTAGTTTAAATAAGATCACTGAGGACATTACAGGAATGGAAATTTAAGTTCTAAGAAAAGCTTGGGGAAACTGAACATTATTAGCCTTAAGAAGAGAACCTAAGGGAATATGGTAGGACTCCTGAAATATTTGAAAAACTGTTACATACAAAATAAGACTACAATATGCTTCCTTTCATTTCAGAGGGCATATAATAGCACAGGAAAGGAGATTCCAACTCTTTCCAACAGTAAGAGTAGCTTAATAGTGGAATCACTTTACCAAATAAAGTGATAGCTACCTCTTTGTTCTGTGCATCCATAGACTTCTGGGTCCTCTATCATGGATGCTTTATTTTGGATTCCTGAGCTGAATTTAGACAGGGATTGGTGGTGAATTTAGACTCAATGAACAAGCAGACATCTTCCAGTTGTATGATTCTGTGGATTTATGCTAGTGAATAACTGTAAGAAAGATTGAACTGATTTGATTCTGTAAACTGCTATAGATTTGTATCCAATAATTAAAATCATATCCTTACATTTACAAATACAGGAAAAGTAGTAGCTAGACAGTCCAATACTGCAAGTATATTTCAGTGTTCCAGAAAATCCCAACTCCTATTAAAAACTCTGAGACAGGCATTTTCTCAGAGTTTCCTTTTATTAGAGTAGTTATACTACTCTAAGCACATCTGGGAAAACCCGAATCTGAAAGTTCCGGGTTTTCCTCCAATAAGTACAAAATTACAAATCCACCCCCTGCACCCATCATTCCATTACATGCCCCAATCACCATCCGTTCCAACTTGAGACATCCCTTCTACTCCTCCTAAGCCAGGTGCAGGAATAACATGACCTTGACTTTAAAGAAGAATGCTATTATGTCTAACCACATACACTCCATGAAATCCCTCCTCACAACTTCCCACGCTCAAGAATATGGCAGTGTGGAAGCTTCTGGTGCTACTATGGCTTCCAAAGCTGACATAGGGAACTACACATTTTAATGTTCTGCCACATGAAAAGAGAACCACTTTGGTCTTCCTTTAAGCCTATTTCAAAATTATTTCAACTAGATGAAATAGCTTCAGTTCAACTTTGTATCCTAAAGATGGCATATCCAATGAAGGTATGGAATTCACAAGGGGAGAAATAGAGGGTATCTATTTGGCATATCTTTGGAGGGGGAGGGGGAGAAAGCTCTCATTTTCTCCCTGTTCCCCAAATCCAGTGGCTTAAGCAAATTTTCCTTGACCTGGCCACTTGTGATATGACCAAATCACTTTCCCCTTAAAAAGAACTTTTGTTGTTAGTTACAAAGTCATGTCTGACCCATCACGAGCCCATGGACAATGTTGCTCCAGATTTTCCTGCCCTCTACCATCTTCTGGAGTCCATTTAAGCTCACGCCAACTACTTCAGTGACTCCATCCAACCACCTCATTCTCTGTCGACCCCTTCTTCTTTTGCCCTCAATTGTTCCCAGCATTAGGCTCTTCTCCAGCGAGTCCTTCCTTCTCATTAAATATTTGAGTTTCATCTTCAGGAATTGGCCTTCTAAAGAGCAGTCAGGGTTGATCTCCTCTAGGACTGACTGGTTTGATCGCCTTGCAGTCCAAGGGATTCTTTGGTGCTCAGCCTTCCTTATGGTCCAACTTTCAGGAAGAACTAAGGCCTGCAAAACACCAGTGACAGCCATTCAACACATGAATCACATCAAGTCACAGAACTGAGCAAACAAGAATTTCCTGCCTGACTACAGACTTGGGACATTTCCCAAACATTTCAGGAAGGGAAAGGCAGAACCTGGCCATAGATTCAAGCTTGCTCCCTGGCAGGCTTGAAAAATTACTGGTATTGCCAGCTTTTCAAAGATCATTGACTCTCCAAATAAATGTTGGAACTGTAAAATGGCAGCAGGCACGTCCAGAAAATTCAGGCTTGTGGCAGAGAAGTTTCATTTATTAATAGATTTTTCAGCTGCCCTTCAACTTCTGTCTCAAGGACAGTTTTTAAGCAGACCATTAGTAGTCTCAATTCTTATGCAGTAAAATAAGTGGAGAGATTTGTGGCAACCTACTGCAATAAGCTAACTTTTCATAGATCGACAATGTTGTGGGCTGGGGAACATGGAAAAAAACTTCTTCCAAGGTAGATGGGCAATTCAGAAATTTGGAAAATAAATAAATATAAATAATGTCCCCCACACTTTTGATATAATGTGGCAGTTTTCCCTAGTCTGGACTACCAAGAGTCTCAATCAGTGTGACCCATAACTTACCAACTAGATTCTGGAAGTTTGGGTTCCAATGTATCAGAAGAATATCCATTTGTGAAGGTTCAGTTGTGGGAACATTGGCTCAACAAATGTGATAAAATGTATATAGTACATGCCGTTCAATTAATCCCTTTAGAGAACAAGATATTGTCCATCTGAGCTGATAATGTTTGATCATAATGGCTTAATGGGACTCTATTTCCAAATTGTTTTTTTCTTAAGCTAAAGAAAAACTGAAATAGCTACATTTTCAGTATACAGATGTATTTTTGCCAAAAAAAAAAAAAAAAAGGGAGAAGGGAAGAATATTGGTATTTAGTCTAACTGCAGATAGAATAGATTGTCCGACCCAAGGTCATTGAACACTCTTATTGAATGGTTTTTTTCCCCCTAAATTATCTATAGTTTATAGGTGGTTTTAGAAATAATGATGGATCGATAGGAGCCACTTATATCACAGTGTCAGAAAACCATATCCGTTTCTGAGTGGCATAATAAAAAATAAATAATAGCATGTGTGATTATAAATATATTTATAGTTGATGTTACACCTGGTGGGCTTTTTAATGGGCTATTTTAATGGGCATGGCTTGTCAATTGTCATAATCTTCTGGAATAATAAATTCCAAGATGACAATCACACTTCTGTGATTAGGCCATTTATGTTCAAGGTACATTTTGAGCAATTTAATCCATTGTTTTAATGAAACAAAACATGGAATAAATAAAATGAGACTCTACCACTGTCATGTGCCAAGGAAAAACAAAAGTTAAAGACATTGTACTTGTAGTGCTCTAAAATAGTAAAGCTGGCAAGGCAGGAATCTGGATTGCTTAGATTAGACAGAACTGCTATGTTAAAATTCAGCAGTTATCTACCATTCTGAAGGTGCATAAAGGAATGACCAAGAATTTGCTACCCAAAAAGGACAGCAGGAAAAGATTTAAGATTTAAACGACTGAGATATATGTACATATTTTGGTTTCTGTGTTGGCATCAGACAAATCTTCTGAGTGTATGTAACTTTTTGCAAGCCATAAACTAACTGCGTCTATGAAAATTTCTGTGGCTATCTAGATTGTAGAACTGAATTTCTGGAGGAGGAGAGACTTATAGCTATTCCTATCCTGAATACCCCCCAAAAGTTGTAAGCAGAGTGTACCATAGACTGGAAAGTGGAGCAGTGGGATGGGACTCATTGTTCTGGCAGCTTCCTGATCCTCTACAGAAAAAGGAAAGAACTTGGCAAAACCAAGCTGAGGCATTACTTATTCAGGCTCTTGTACAAGAGTTCACTGAAATTTATTAGGTGGAATTCTTAGAAGCTGCAACTGAATTCAGTTTCTAAGGTAATATCTGCGTGACCTGCTTTTGCAAAATTCACAGGAGTAGTTGTAGCATCACACTAATCTGGCCTGTGCAAGCAGTAAAGTTGCCGAATTGGATGGTGGATTGTTGTGCACTAGTCAACAACCAAGAAAAGAGCAAAAAGTGAAGTATTACCTACTTTAAAAACAGGAAATCAGAGCTTTCAAAAGTCTCTATTGTGGCTGTTCAAAGGCTACATCAAAAAAAAAATAAAGGCTTGGTTCATTGGTTTATTTTAGGACTTCTAGAGGTCATGACTGGTTCTTACTTATTTAGTTTGATGTGACTTTGCTCCCATCTCTAGGGTATTGACACATAAAGGCACTTAACCTATGCTTTAGAGAGCAATGGAAAACTAATGTGAATCTGGGACACAGTGATTCCTGAAAAGAAAAGAAAAAAACCAACTATGAAATTATATGAAATACATTATATAAATCCACTAAGAATAAATCAATCACTGATTTTAAGGTTGTAGTAGTAAATATAACATACAACTTGAGATCTTCATTTAAATGCAAAAGACGGGCCGGGCTGCTTCTTCACAGGCCATCTTATTTCCCTTATTCCTTGAAGTTTGAAAGGCCTGAAGCATTCAACTTAGGAAAATCTCAATATTGCAATATGAGAAAACCTAGTGAAATCAGTAATCAACTTTCTGCATCCCCACCACCTCTGAGTTAGATTGCCTACTGGTTTACAAAGCATTGGGACCAGGTGAATTGACAGAACAGATACACAGCTGAAAGAACCTTGGATACTGAAGTGCTAACAGATTCTGGAAGGTGACAGGTGGGGTATCATGCTGTGTCATTCACAAGTATCTTGGAAAATTATGCATATTTAGAGCACCTTGCATTTGGATTCTACTATTTTTTGAACATATCCCTTCCTTTTTGACTTAAGACATATTTTAAAAAATCATTTCATAACCTCATGGTTTTCTCTCTCTCTCTCTCTCTCTCTTTGGTGCTTTCTAGGTATTTCATTTCTCATAAACCAAACAAGACCTGGCAACAAGTCTTCTGGTTTTCCATCAGCATTGCCATAAACAATGCTTACATCCTGTACAAAATGTCTGACGCCTATCCTGTGAAAAAGTACAGCCGAGTACAGTTTGGTGAGAGACTCGTAAAGGAGCTGCTTGGATTGGAGGATCCCTCACCAGGCCATTGATGGATCCTTCTTCATAGTTTAGGCTAGGAGTGGGGGAGATGGAGGAAAGAAAAGGGAACAAACTCTGGGATGCCATAGGTAACTTACTATTCCATGTGACAAAATCACTAGGGAAGCCCTTAAGTAGGTTGGTGTCTTCCCAATGGCCTTATTGATGTTCAAAGGGCCCTCAAGAGAGCACTGTATGAAAGCTGCACGTGTGAGTGCAACACAGGCACCGATGTATCAGAAATGAATTTATGTTAGCTATTCCTCAAAATGATTTTTCAAACAGGATGTTAGTTGTTACACAAATCCTCTTTCCTATCCCTTTTCAAGCTAGAAAGGCTCAGCAGTTCCAGTTGGGCATGTTGTTGGGTGGTTGTTGTTTTTTTAAATCAGTGCACAATGTGTAAAATTATGCACTGCTGTGTGGCTGAGAAGAGGTTGCTAGAAGAGAAATATATATATATATATAATATATATTAAAAATGTAAAAATCTATTTTGACAGCCAGTGATTAGGCAATGGCAGATGAAGACAGTAGACTGAAGATTTTATTTTGTTGCAATGCTTTTAGATTGTAAAAGGGGGTATAATTTTGACAGAAAATGCTTTTTTTAATATAAAGGAACAGTGAGAATCTGAAAAGTTTACTAAGTTCATTGTGCTATCTGAAGTCAATTAAACTCCAAGATTAATTTCAGTTATGCCATAACAAAAGCATAAGATTTAATTGCAAACTTCTTATATCGGGGTGTCAAACTCAAGGCCCAGGGGCCAGATTCGGCCCACGGGGTGCTTAAATCCAGCTCATGTGGCTGGCCTGGAAATATAAAATGACTGGCCTGCGGTGCCTCTGGCGGCCAAAACGGGCTACGTGCAGGGCCCCTGCGCCTCGTTTCACACTCTGTGGCCTCTTGCAGCATGCTGACAGCCGAAAATGGGCTGAAAAGTGGTTCCAAAACAGGCCCAAAATGTCTGAAAAACAGCCCCCAAAGGGGGTTTCAGTATACATCTGTATACTGAAAACTTCCTTAAAAACAGCCCAAAAAATGGGCCGAAATGGGCCAAAAACAGCCTCCCAAAAGGCCACCCGAATGCTGCAGGAGGCCATGGAGGGTGAAAATGAGGTTCAGGGGGCCGCGCACGGACTCCAGTGCCACGTTTGGCCAGCAGGGTACCTCAGAAGGCATCTGTCCAGCCCCCAACAGCCCACAAAGGAGAACTACAATGCTGATCCGGCCCTCAAAGAAATCCAGTTTCACACCCCTGTCCTATATTATTCTTCAGGCACTGAATTTTTCTACACAATCTGAGAAACATAAAATATTCTCTGAAGAACTAGTTCTTCCTTAGCTGTATCTGGATCTGTGCTCCCCTCCCCCCATAGTGCTGCATAAACATACATGCCAAATCCAGAAATAGTTAAAGGTAAAATTGGAGTTCCAAACCTAATGATATATACCGGTAACTCTAAAACCAAATAACATAAACAGTTTTTTGAGGGTTGATGAGTCATTTGTGAAATTGCTGAGCAAGGCAAAATATATTTCCAAGTGTTATTTCCATTTGTCCTTTAAAAAAACCCTTACACAAAGCAATTTAACATTTCTAGATGCTGAAAAATATCTAAGTACCCTTTTATTTGAGGATTACCTAAACTGAATGGACTTCAGCTTCCAGAATACCTCAACCAGCAGATGTGGCTGAAGAATTCTGGGAGTTGAAGTCCACAAGTCATAAAGTTGCCAAAGTTGGAGACCCCTGACCTAAACTATACATCTCAATACTGCTGAATGAATACTGTTCATGAAGTGACTTCCCAAAAGTTATGACAATGTTTTCTTATTTTGCTCAGTTAACATCAGTCTTGTCAGCTAGCTTTTTCCCAAAGCGTTTATTTCATTATGGTTCCATTGTATTGGCCATCTTGCTGCCTTGTCATTTATGACGAACTAGACACTTTTCTTGGGGGGGGGGGGAATCATTGCAACACTAGACAATCAGAAACATTTGCATGTTAAACTTTGTGATGAACCAGTTCCAAAGCTTTCAAAAAAAAATGGTTATGCCTCCACTTCAGCACAAAAGGTGCTGAGAATCACATGGCTGCCAGCCGCATGTGGGCATGAAAAAAATTGCACAGATTGAAATTATAGACTTTGACTGTAGCATTGGTTTGTGTGATAACAAGTTAAATATTCAGAGATGACATTCCCTTTGAAAGCAAGTTATTACACATGTGAAGATGTGTTTAAGTACCTTGGTAATTAAGTAATACTTTTATGATTGTTTAATAGTTAAAAGCCGTATCTGGAAGGAAAGATTTGGGAAGGCCACCACAGAGATTATATCAATATATCTTTATGTCCTCTGTAGGTTTTGGTGGGCTCAGTGTTAGGTGCTCCCAATGCAGGAGCTGGTAAGTATGTGAGGTGGTGCAGTTTGAATCAATTGCATTTTCTGAGTATTTTTAAGGGCAATACCCAATAGAGAGTGTTACAGTAGCCTAGCCATATGGTGACAGGGGCATGAATTATTGTAGCTAGCTCTTCTGCCTCAAGCCAAATTGCAAATTATATGCTAACTGAAGCTGGGCATAGACAGCATCCACCTTCTATTCCAGCGGAAGCTGTGAGTCCAGAAGGATCCCATGTTACAAACCTACTGCTTGTCCATCAGGAAACTCTTAGTGATGACCGGCAATCCTGATGTATCCACAACTGTTCAGACTTAGCGGTTTGGCAATCAGAATTTACAATCCTCCAATAAAAAAAGCCATCCTATTTCCCCTGGGCTTGAGTTCTATTGCTTTGGTGTTGGAAGTTAAGGAAAGGTAAGGCATTGGTTTGTACCCATGTTTCTGCATTTATTAATGGGGAATCCAAAATTTGAACCTCACCTTGTGATGTGTCCACTGTCATATCCTGCACTATTGAATTGGTAGTCATGATGCTTATAAAAAAGGAAGTGACATAACATTTTAATGCAAAAATTAATCAAGAACAAAGAACTTTAACAAGGAGTCTACAAAACTGAATATTAGAAAGACAAAGCTGACTTTGTGACCCGTCTGTCCTTGTATGCAATTCAGCTTAAAATTCATCAAGTCAATTCTATCAAAACTCTGAAATAGAGTGGCTTTATACAATTCTATGACAGCTCATTTTTGTATCAGAAGCTGTAGTCCATGAGAAAAGACTAAGGCAGCTGAGATTGTACAGTCAGATGTGAAGCTTACAGCAAATTTACCGTTTGGAATTTTGTGCTGTTACCTCTTGCATCCAATTGGAAAAAATAGGGCTAAAGAATTCAATGAATCTTTATTTACACCAGAGGTGATATTTGGTGGGTGCACTTTTTTTAAAAAAGGAAAATATAGTAGCTTCTGAACGCTAAGGAGACAAGGGGCCAGTGACATCATCACGAGGAAGGCAGAATTTAAGGGCACTTTCTTGTATTTTTTTTTATGTCAGCTTATTGTAATAACGTACTTATTTTAGTACTTTTTTTGTACTACTACTATGCTTTATCGCCAAATTGAAATAGGAGTTTCAAGGTTACAAATATAGGGAAGAGGTTTGAATCTACTGTAGTATGCAATCCATTTACCCACCCACCCATTCCTGACCTACCTATTCCTTAAAAAAAAGGAATTATGAGTTTTAGGTCAGCTTCCAATGAAGAATCTTATGCTCTCCATCTATGATAGATTTCAGTTCCTACATCTTTTAACTAGCATGACTATTAGCCCCCAAATTGAGGAAGATTGCCCTGGTTACTGAGGCACTGACTATATATTGGATCCTGAGCTTGCCCTCTTCTGATAGCCATTAGCCAATGGCAACTGCCAATAAGCAAGGTAATATTCAACAGTTAATTAGAAAATGTCCATTGAGATATAGTCACATCTTAATCAGTTACACTTAAGTTAGTTATTTACTATGTTTATGTTCAGCTTTGAAGGCTTTTTTTTTTTACTTTGAAACAAGTAAAATTTTAAACCTCTTAAAGATCTTTCCCCATTTAAGCCAGGTTTAGACTTTTGTGTCACTGCATATCACAGAACATATGCGTCTGTCATTCAAAGACAACTGCATGTTATATGTCTATAAATGTTACATTCTGGCTAGGGGGCATTCAAACCTCAAAGCACAGAAAACATAGATGGATAAACCAATCAGCATGCAGGATGCACATCTCCATACAATATTTAGTGGAGATTTGGGAATTGTACGCGTTGGGCAGTCTGCAACCATCTGCAACCTACACTTACCCATCAATCCCTTCACAGCATAGATATATCTACACACAGTTGTGGATAAGTCTAAATCGAGCTTTACACTTAACCCTGGCACAAACACACTGTCAACCTTTTTATTTCTGCCATGCTGTCATTTCACCTACAGACTATCTACTGAGTGTTATTTCCCCTCCCCTTTTTTTTCTGGAACTGTCCAAAAATAGCCATCAGGTATGTAAAATCTGTTAGGCTTCGTTACCCATTTCTTTGGAAGGATGTTAGAGGACTGCAGTGACTGGAAATAGAGGCAGGATAGGAGTCAGCCATACACCCTGGTAGAGTCTTCTGCCAACTCAAGTATGGTGGATAGAACCAACCCCGCAGAGTAAGGGGGAACAACACAATTTTGCTTCAATATAATTAACATTTGCAATGTAGAATGAAGCTTTTTTATTCAAACTTTCATTTGTTGTATAATGCCTGTTTATCTAAAGCTTAGTTTAAGGAGGTTCCCCCCCCCCCCCAAGAAGGGTAAGCAGGATTTCAGCCAGGTTGGTTGATCATTAAAATCTTCCTATTCACCTCAGATAGACTTCAATTAAGTAGAAGGACACTCCTTAGCAAGCAACTCCATTCCATTTAACACAACATGCTTCTTATAGAATCAGCTAGTCTTAGTACAGGGGTGTCAAATCTGTGTTGTCACAGCGTTGTCACGTGACATATCAGGATTCCCCTCCCTTCACTAAACCGGGCGGGGGCAGAGCCAGCACGTAACGCATCTGGCCCATGGGCCATGAGTTTGACACCCCTATCTTAGTGACTTATTTATTGTGGTGAAAAATTCTTTCCATAGATAAAGAGCTGATTGATTTGTTTGAATTAACATAGGCTAGCTTTCCTCAACTTTAACATAGTTGAAGGGCATGGACAAGTATTCTTCTTGAGAAAGACTGATCTAGATGTGTTTCAACATTCTAAACTCTTTAGAGTTTACTTTGTTTTATCAATTTCCTTAAACATTTTTTGTTGGGACTAGCAATATTCAGCAGGAGGACTTGTCTGCCATGTCGAGTTGGGTATATAATACTGATAATATTTCATTCTTTAAAATGTGAACTTGTATTGTAGTCTTCCTTGTACTTTTC